GCCGTCGCTAGAGTCCCAGAATTCGCTTCTTCGCCAGGAGAAGGTTCGGCTCCTGGCACTCGCGGAGGCTGAGAAGAGCAGAAGAGAGAGATTGGAAGATGAAAGCAGCAGGTAGTCAAGTGCCCGTTAAAAACGTTCAAACCTACGAGGTTGACCGTCAATTCATCCACTCAGCAGCAGCAGCATCATCATCATAACTACATCTCGACAACTCGGTGGGGGTTTTAGGAGCACGTACTTTGAAATGTTGATCTGCATCCAAAATGGTCTCAAGTAGGCCAATGGGAGCCAGTTGCCGAAAAAGAAACCACCACATGAACACATCCAACTCATTTGGTTGCAAACCAAATCGTACGCTGACCGTCGTGTCATGCGATTTCTCCGTTTTTTTCAAAATGATGGGTGGAATCAACTCCAAAATTTCCGCCGATCTCTCGTGCCTTACTTCACCATAGGGAGCGTATCGAGTTGGAAAATCTGCGAGGCCAACACAGCCGCATGCTTGAAGAGGCAAAGAAAGAAAAGGTATCGCTTTGCTCCCTGCGCTTTGTTGCTGTTGTACATTTTCGCCGATCTCTCGTGCCTTACTTCACCATAGGGAGCGTATCGAGTTGGAAAATCTGCGAGGCCAACACAGCCGCGTGCTTGAAGAGGCAAAGAAAGAAAAGGTATATCGCTTTGCTCCCTGCGCTTTGTTGCTGTTGCCCTCGACGAGATGTCTTCCTTCCTCAAAGTTGCCGTCTCCTCCGCCAGCTGCTGCTCACCAATCAACTCGAGATGGAGAAAATGAAGGTGGAACAGGAGAAGAAAAAGTACTACTTAGCACAAGAGGCACTCAAGGAAAAGGTTGGCGCTCTTCAATTTTCCCCCGCGTTCGTGAACCAACCGCGCTCTCAAACGGCCTTTGATTTTGATGTTGTTTTTCCCGTCGAGGCACAGAGGAGCATAAGCCACGATCCCCCGGCTTCTTCCACGCCCTCGCCGTCCCGCTCCGGCTCCATAAATGGGGCTGACAACGCCGTTTTGCATGGCTCGATCTTGTCACAGGTACGCGAGTTCCGCAAACAGAGTGGCCTCGTCTTGATGAAGGGCCGCGCGTTGGAAAGCAGTTGGACGCGCAGATTCAAAGGGGATAGAATGGGTCCATGGCATCTTTTCCTGTCGTGATGTCCCCAGCACATTTTTGCACACAAGTCCACGGCGCCTGTGGCCATACCTCGACAATACCTTGCATACATTGATGGCCGGTTACTTTCCTTATCGGTTACGTTTGACAAAGTGCAATTATTGGAAACCTACCTAATTATGTAATTGTGTTTAAAAAAAAAAGATAGTTTGGATGCACTGTCTAATACTGTTGAATGAGAAGTTCTTCATACATTTTTACTGGCGGTGTCGTGTAGAAGTGAAAATACAATGAAATCAGTTGGCTGCCACTCTCGATGGCGTAGGTCCAGCTTGACCGTTTTCCTCCACAGGATGATTCTTCAGACCAGACGATGGCGGGCGGAACCATGTCCATGTCAACGAGCGGCACCAACTTGTATGAAGCGGCCCGCCTGTCCGGTGGCTCCAGCGTCGTCGAGAATTTGCAGTCTCAACTCAAACTGAGGGAAGGGGAGATAGCCCAGTTGCAGGTAGAACCGATTTGACACACGCAAGCGGTTCTCATTTTTGAAGGGCTTCACTAAACGGACATGAAGAATTACCGCCAGCACCCATGTGATCCCTGCCGCCGTCAATCACTTTGCTTTGCTTCCTTGGGTCATGTTAGCTTGAGATTACCAGTCTGGAGAGGAGCCGTTCTGTGATGGCGGAGGAGCTGGTACGACTCACCAATTTAAACGAAGACATGCAGGAGCAGCTTACGGAGATCTCCAAGTTGAGGATTCAACTCAAGGTGAGGACGAACAGACATGCAACCCAAACTCAAAGCCGCACCATCGATTTTGGAGATGCTGACCGAGCGGCTGACGTCATTTGCGTTTCAGGATTTGGAGCAGAGGCACAACACCATCTTGCAGATGTATGGAGAAAAAGCTGAAGAGGCAGAGGAGCTCAGGCTGGACCTTGAAGATGTCAAGAGCATGTTCAAAACCCAAATTGATGAACTGCTGAAGAACCAGAAATAAATCGGCTGTGCTTTGATTGCACGTGGGGTATTCACAAAGTCAGACTGCACCAGAATCATTCGTCTCGATCACAAATCATTTGACTTGAGTTGATGAGACGCGATTCGGTCAGATTTGTGGGCGAATTTGCCTCGCGGACTTGAAACTTGCTCAGATGAGAAAAAAGACAAATTACACATGAACATACTGAAGCTTCGTGGCAAAGCAGAGGTCACACAAAGGTGCAAGGAGTTCCAAAATATTGAATCGGCCGCAGCTTGCGCTGGCATCAACATCTTATCCCAGTTGAGCAACTGTTTATCGCGCAAACTTACTCCTGACACCGTATCAGGGAAATCTTTTGGAGGAACAATGACCTTCATCTGCCTGTCTGTCGGTTTTTTGCTCCATTTTCTGCTGGTGGACCAGCTCATGGCGGCCCAAGACACACTTTACCGTACAGTGTATTTTGCCCCCCTCACCCCGGCCCTTTTAAGTTCGCCATCCATGTTTTGCTTCTCTTGAATCTATCTTTGCGGTTGCATTTAGATGGTGAAGGTTTATGCACTGCACAGTTTCTTCCACGTTTTCTTGTCTTCAATATTAAAAGATGTACAGTACATAGAAATTATATGAAGATTGTTTTACGGTGTGCGCTCTGGTTGAGAAGTAAAGGTGTGGAATTTCAATTGTATACATGTATATGAATAAAGATTTTGAGTGGCGGGGTGAAAAAAGGCATTCTTGATCTTGACAGCCGCGGAAAATACTTGACAGTAAATGGTCGCTCTACCCCAGCGATCAGTGCCTTTCCGCTGATAACAGTTTGTGATGCGATGATCAGTTTTGACAAGAGGTATTCATTTAACCAATGGCAATGGGTTGCGGTACGTGGTCCTGCGTGCATCAACTTTTGCGAAGAGGCTCACGTGTTACCTCCCCAAAAAGTGACAACTACTGAAATGGTGATGGTTGTCTAATCTCGATGTACCCGCGAATTGACCAGGCGTAAAATACGAGCATCTAATTTAACTCCTGGCTGATAAATTGCAGGAAGCCATCCACCCATGATCTGATCGAGGAGAAGCGGCTGGCATATTGAATGGATGGATGAATCCATTGTGAAGACGTGCGCCCCTAGCGGTAATCACGATTCACTACACACAAGCATCCGGTGTTATGGCGACCACCAGCGAAAGCGACGCTTCCCTTCGGCGAAAATTAAGTTGCGCGTACAGGTAAACGTGACCTCCCTTCTTCAATTTATCGCTACACATTATTAGGTGATGACGACCTTGTGTGCGCGGAACGCTTATTCCAACAGCGCTCCCCGTCTCCCCCCACTGCGGTGCATCGATTTAGCGTTCAACCGAATTAGCGTCCCGATAGCTTTGAACGCTCCGGTTTCCATCCACGTGAAACGCCGCGGAACAGCTCGGAACACGCACAAACAACGGCGTGGGACTCCATATTTAGCACACTCGCTAAGGAATGCGTTCTTGCCAACGCATTGCAAAGTCAAATGTAATCGCAAGCCAATGTTAGCTCAAAGTTTGACAACATTTGCTACAGCGCACCAGCGACTACTAAGGATGAAGGTGCGACAAAAAAAGATGCTCTGGGGCACGTGTACTAACTACTGTTATGTAGAGAATCAGTTTCGAGATAGGAGAATCTCCGCGTCAGTGAAGCGACGCAATACGGCAAGTCACAGACGGCTGCTTTAGCCGCTGTTTTGGGATCCACATTGCAATATGAGCCGTACGCGCGGTGGTACCAAAACGTGCCAATACTGACCGACCTGCCATATTTATAAATGCTTTACTGTAGCCAAGTTATTATTAAGATGGCAGGTCAGCGATGGTGACAGCGTACACAATGGTTAATGGGGAGGGGAGGGGAGGGTTCGTTCACGACGCTTAATAACTTGTGTCATCACCTCAAGTGTGTACTCAAGCCCACTTCGACCGCCGAAAACACTAGAAACGACGGCAGGGCAGCCGGGGTGGACTGGACAAAATGTATGAACGAAAACACTTGCAGTGGTGCGCTGGAAATACGAGATGGTGAGAATTTCCCGAAACAAACACCAGGAAATCCAACACACCTCAGCGACAACCACGTGACAGAACCACGTGTCAGTAGGCAGCTGAAGACGATGACAATGACAAACAGGTGTGGGCGCTCTGGAGGGAAACGCCCTCGACCCCGCCCTCCCAGAGAACAAACAAACAGAACCGCAAGGGCCCCATTTCATGGACAGCAGGCCTTTTCCTCCGCATACACATACAGAATAAGATGAACGTCACTCCATGTCCAAAAAACTAGAACTAATCACCACCAAAAAATTGTGTGCGCATCCCTACTCATGCCCATTTCAATCTCTGAAAATATGAAAACAGCAAAGGGCTTCACCGTACAAACTCCCAGGGAGGACGGCCCAAAGAAAAGTCGGAAAGAGCCGGCCAGTATTTCCTGCAGCGGCGGGCCGTTTCCTGATGCGGTGCTCGGCTCTGCTCGGACTGTCGTTTCCGCACAGCTGACGTGCCCACCTATTGCTCCGTTGTGGTGTGAAGGTCCTGCGCCTCAGCAACGGTGGCTTTGCTTCTCCTTTTTGGCCTCAGGTTTCAGCAGCCCGCATGCCCACTTGCGTGATTCTCGCCGCGTTGCTCTTGGCGGCGGCGGCTTCACTCGCCAGTGAGAACCGCGACCGCCAGCCGCCCGCAGCCGGATTCAACTACAGCAGCATTTCCTTGGCACCGGAGCACATCCCCTACTTCTTGTACAACAACAAGGAGGTCGCCGAGCAGTGCAGGCTTGACCCCCTCTGCCCTTTTCAAGTAAGAGACCTCCAGCATGCGCTTTTTTCCCCACAATCGGATTTGAGCCGACACAACAGTCGCAGGATGTTGCCGGCCGAGGCGTGCGGGCCGGCAGGGGTTTGGCCCTCTCTTCTGACTGTCAAAAGGGTGCAAATGCTTCAATCGGAACCGGATGCGGCAGCGGCTCACGGACACATCAGCAAACACAAACGCCCACCTCCCATTTTCCATCCTAGATATAAAGATCCTCCCCCCTGCCCCCCCAACCCTCCCAACTCTTTCGACAGCATTTTGCCCTGCTGAATTTGTCTTCCTGTTGGGGTTATGAGAAGAACTGTGATCCAGAGAACCGCTTCAGCTATCCCGATTGCAACCAACCGGACTCCGGATGGTAAGGCTCATTTCCAATCACTGTTTCCGCAATTGCGTTTCCCGGGAGAGAGCGGATGGCGCAGCGGCTTTTGCGGAGCGGAATCCGGATTTGCGGCGCGTTTACTCTCAGGGTGGATTCCGTGGAGGCAGCCCGGGATCTTTTCTGGAAGCAGGCTGATTTTGGCTACGTCAAGGAGCGCCGCTCCGAGCTCCAAACGCTTTGCGAGGCCATCAAGCCTGTAAGTCTTGCGCATTTCCCTTGGTTCCCACGGGGCAACCGGGAAAAAAAATCAACGGGCGCGTTTTTCACCCGAGGGCCCCCAGGAAGCACCTCGACTGGATCAGGACCTCTGTTTAAGATGCAAAGAAGAAAAAAAAAAGTGTCATTTGTCCAGGGGGACTCTTCTTTGAGATGCACGAGCCATGCAAGATTCTGTCAAGCAACCGGCCTTTACCTGGACTTGCGGAAACCACGCAGAGGCCATGAAAGGTCATTATGATGATGATGATGATTTTTTTTTTCATGGCGGAGACAATCCAGTGACCGCCAATCTGGTGCATATTGATGCCGCAGGTACCAGGAGGACTTCATTCAGAAAGGTGAGATCGGCGGTCATTGCCGACTCAACGAGCGAGCGCTGGCTGCGGCGGGACAGCACAAGAGCCCGTTGCAGTCTTGGTGAGAGAGTCACGCGCGCCCACCGCCCGCTTCTTCCCAAGAAAAAGCAACGCGTCCTCCCCAACCAACGGCTCATGAGTCAGTCCGAAATCCCCTGGCACTTTTCCAACTTGGCGGGCACGCATGCACGCAAGAGTCAGGACGGGCGCTTGGCCGCTCGCCGGCCGCTGCTACCTTTCGATGGGCTCAACTGCCGGCGGTCAATGCTCCAAAGCGCCGCTTGTCGCCGGGCGTGTCGTCCGGGGCCTCACGTGCGCCGCGGTTCCTCACCGCAAAAGAAGTCGATCTCGGAACGCGCGGCCATTTGGAAGCGAGAGTCACTCATGTGCTTTTCCCAGGTATGCCGAGCTGCAAAGCTACACCGAGCTGGACTTTCATCCCTTTCGCTCCAAATCCTGTGACATCGTCATCGAAAAACCGACCGTTTTCATGAAACTGGATGCTGGTAAGACTTTGAGACCACCGCCTGTCGGTCGCAGGACTTGGCCAACTCCCGCTCATTGAAGCCAAATCGAATCTTGACTCCTCATTTGTCGATCTCAAACGCGCCTCCGCCTTCCTGCTACGGACGCGGTCTGCGTCGCGCACGCGTCGCCCGGTTGTCTCTCGCTGTCGACGTTGTCATCGAGCGTTCCCGTTTTGTCAGTCACGTGGCAAGAAATAATCCTCGGCGTCTCTTTTCGCCAGGGGTGAACATGTACCATCATTTCTGTGACTTTGTCAACCTCTACATCTCCCAGCACATCAACAACTCCTTCAGCTCTGACATCAACATCATCATGTGGGACACGGTGGGTACCTGCCTCGATGGGCACGCGGCCGTCACTTTGGCTTAGTGCCATAGTTTGTGCGCCTCAGACGCCGCAAGAGTGCATCCCGCCCCTCCGCGTCAGGTCGGCGGTGACTTCCTTTTCGCCAACTCACAACTCTTGTTGGCGTTTGCGCGCACGTGTGCGATAACGGGTTGATCGCGGGAGGTTGGTCTATCTTGGGTCAAAAAAGCCCTTTTCGTCATGATATGAATGCATTTTATTGATGAGCACATTTTCAACCCATAAACAACACCTCAGATATGAAATAACTAGCTTGAATGAACTCACTAGTTTGGGGCTGCTACCCACAACTATTTTCATAGATTTTTTTTTTGG